ACGTACCCTCTCAGGAGGACAATAATTTTACTGTTCTTTAACCCCTTTGAGGATACAGCCACTAACAATCGAATTGATAATCTAAACTACCAATTATAAAACCTTGTCTATTTACAAAACATATATCAAAATTCATTTAACAAATCTATCTCTTTTAAAACATCATCAATGATTAAATGATTATTAACATTATTAAAAAGGTCCTTTACTGTTTTGACATTGAAATATTTATCCCATGTGATGGAGAATTCAACACAGTCAAGCAGGATATGCTTGACGGTGACTCTCTCATCACAAGGGATACAAAACGGAGGATCCTCGCCTTTCAATAGATATACATGAGTATATCTTGTGTGGCCAATACGACATCGTCGCATGATGACCTGTTCAAATCTGGACTGACAACCCAAGTAAGTGTAACCAATATAGGGTTTTATTTCATGTAATTTATTAATACCTACTTGGGTGTCCCACTTCTTCTGCATCAGATCACGGATGTACGATCTAATCAGAGATTTGTAATCAGAGTATGGATTAAGAAGTGGTGTCACAGATTTTTTGAGTGCTGCCTTAGCAGCAAGATCGGACATGGTGTTCCCAGAAATGCCAACGTGGCTGGGTAACCAACAAAAGACAATGCCGTATTGGCCAGTAGAAAGATCATTGTATAATTCAGTTATATCGATTAAAAGTGGTTGTTTGCGAGAAAGATTTTAAATAGTCTGAAGGCAAGAAAGAGAGTCGGAAAAGATTATGTATTGTTTATATTTAGGGTGTTTGTTAATATATTTTAAGGCTGTCAATATGGCGTTAACTTCTGCTGTGAAAATAGAGCTGTTTTTTGGTATATTGCTAAGTGTGGCGTGAATTATAAACACACAATTGATCTGAACGTTTCTAGTTGTATCTCGTGTTTTGGTTCGCTGGTCAAGATTGTATGTGTCTTTCTTGTTTGGTCCAGACCATTGCCATACAGGAATATTGCTCAGTCGTAAACCAGAAACATCTGCAGACACGGCAGTTTTTAACAATGGTATTAAAACGAATACCTATTAATGTTAAATTTGACCTAGTCAGGATCAATAACTAAAATACAAAATTAAACTAAATATAAAACGCTAGTGCCCGAAACTAAACCCAACCCAATGTCCATAACCATGACAGCTAATAAAGCGTTCATAAAATACATTCTCAAATTACTCTGCAGCTCAAACGTTGTGTACAAGCCTTCCGCCTGTAAATTCATCAAAATATATTTGTGTTTGTACTTTGAAATTCCATGAAAAGTGAAGTTTCAGGAATGAATTCTACACAAATCAGGCATTGTTTGGTCATCCTTGTTTTTCACGCCTTACCCGTGTGACTAAAACAAGTCCAGAGATGTAGCTGAGTCCACAGAAACAAGCGGTCACCAGACCTCGCCTTTGCTGAAGCCTGTTCGGAAATGTATCTACAATTGCAGTTACTGTTGTCTCGGTCGTTCCAAACTAGAACAAACATATAAATGTTACAACTCCTGTTACTCGGGAATATCGTAGAATATATAGATTTTTACGTTGGTCGAGTATTGAATTTGATCAAGTAATACAGAGTGAAAATGGAATGTATATGTTTCTCCTTCTCATTGTGTGTAGTCGATGCCACGTCGTATATTGTCATATAGAGGGGTGGGGTGAGGGGTTGGGGGTTGGGGTCGCCTTACCGAGAGTCTTCTCCCACCGTCACCAGCATGATAAAGAATATAACTGCCCACAATTGTGGTACCGGAAGTAGCATAAGAGCTTCTGGGTAAGCCACAAAACCAAGTCCAGGCCCTGCATTGCACAATTCGTTTGTGCTTTAGCCAGTATAGTTTGTATTAGTATTGGGACTAACAAACTAGCAATCAGACATGTCCTGATATTTTGCCTGATTGTGGGGGTCTGTAATAGTGAATTTGAAATAACTACATGTATAATTGAAATGTTTGTCGGTTCGTTATGATACAGCTGGAAGTTTCCTGAAAAAACACAAGTCATTTAATCGCACACATTATATTCAAACACCTGTATCTTTGCTGTCTCTACACATGGAAGAGAATGTAACTAAAAGCTAACAAACTGAACTACGATTAATTGTTTCAACTCGTTTTCCGTTTTTGTGAACCCCTTTGCTCTCCGCCATGAATCCAAGAACGGAGAAAATGGCGAAGCCTGCGTAGAAACTCGTGCCCTCGCTGAGGAACGTGATGCTGACAGCATCCCCACAAGTTGAATAAAGCAGTATGATATCTTAAGATCAGAAAAATCCAAGTTTGTGTTTTTGTATTTTCTAAAACCAAAGGGAAGTAACTCTAACCGTTGTAGCCCTAGAAGGCGTGCTCACTTAAGAAGAATGACACAACATAGATATTATAAAACGGTCACTATGTCATATTATGGAAGCGTCAGTTTATATACGCTAAGCTAATTTCAAGACAAGTATTTTCATGCTAATTTCCTACTATTTTATGTACATTGAATTATTTATCGTACTGTTTCTGTTGTTATTGCAGTCAATCACTCGCACTCTCTCATGCGCACAAGCGCGACACACTGTCAAGATATTGTAAAATGCATGAAACCTGAACAATACAAAGCTTGGAAGGAAATTTGTCGCCCTCTTATTATTGAAAAGACTAAGATTCGACTCAAGAAATCCATACTCAGCTTGAAAATTAACCACTTGCTTCATCTTTCTTGAACTGTATAACCAATATCGATAAACCTTTGTCTACTCAAAGAAGCCGTCCCTTATCCATCATACTTTTTGTGTCCATTCGATACTGTGCACACACTGTTGGTTTTCGTTACCTGTCATATGCAGTCGGGCATTTTGTTATACACAAGCCTTTTTCTGGGAGATGTATCGTCGCCCAACGTTTTGGATCACGTTACTTTACTACACCTACGAACAGGGATTCATGCCGCGATGCGTTCAAAATTTCCTAGCCAATATCCATATTACAATTTCTGCTTGAATCGACTGAAACTTGCATCACGAACTTTTACGTTCTTTCAATGTATTTTGGCTATCGAAACTATACACCACCACTTATTAAAAACGTCGGACACATGCATTCAAATGGCGGACAACATTGATTTCTTGTGCAGTACCTGACGTATTTTCTTACACCTGATATCCTTCCATCTGATATCCTTACCCCAGATATCCTTACCCCTGATATCCAGGTAGCAAAAGTAATGTAAGTCCCCATGGTTCTTAGTATGGTTATCTACCTGCAGTTGTTGGCGATCTATAGCCCGTGTTTTAAATCGTATTGTTTTCTTTAATTAAAATGTTTAGTTTTTCATGCCTGATATCCTTACACTGACCGCTGATTCTCGGCAGTCCATTGCGACTTTTACATATTCACATGTGTGTGTTTGTTTGTATGTACTTCTGCTGACAAGTTTTATATTGCCATCCCACTGTGTGCAGTTAAACATGGATATCACTCTCATACACAGTGTATTGACTTGCAGGCTCCTTTTATTTGTTATATCCTCGAGAGCCAGGCAGGGTGAAATAATTAGAATCTTTTCAGGACCAAGGGATCCACCATCCTCTTGCCGTGTGATGTTTGAATATTTCATAGGTAATTTCTCAACATATATGTTATATAACTGGGAGTGGTATGTGTTTATATGTCATTGTTTTGTCATTGACATGCGTTGTTTATACTTCTGCTGACAAGGTTTATATTGCCAGCCACTGTGTGCAGTTAAACATGGATATCACTCTCATATACCATGTCTATTAACTCCCAGCCTCCCAGCCTTTGTTATATCCTCGAGAGCCAAGCAGGGTAAAATAATTTACCACCTTTCCACGACCACCATGCTCTCGCCGTGTGATGCATGAATATTTCACTGGGAGTATTATTTGTTTCATATGATAACATAGTGGTTCACGAAACCGTTCCACGTGTGGCAAGCCAGATGTTTGAATGGTGTTATATAGGTGTTCAAATCGAAGGTTTGCCGAAAATTTTGCCATGTTACACTGCCATTCAGATGACGCTACCGTGATAGTCGGAATCCTGCATTCTCACTGTTCCCACGGTGGTTATAAAACAACTCTTTACCACGATTCTAATGATGAATGTCTGACATCACTCCGTTATAATCCCAACGGTTTCGCTAAATAAACGCTGCTAAGTACAATTTTTTATCTTCATATGTTGTTCGAAATGATGGAAAACATTTTGTATATCTTAATATAAAATTTAGTATCTGGGCTTGGAAATCGTATTGTCTAACACGGGACAGTGAAATTATGATTTGGGTTTACACAAGTCATCGCAAACAGGCACGTTACGTGGTATGCCTACACATTTTTCAGAAAGTAACCTGAGCGTCATAATAAACACACTTAACAAAACAGATCCGCAAACCCATTCTTTGGTGACATTGAAAATACGATTGAATGCAAACAGAGAGGAAGTGCAAATAGAGCGCAACGTTAGACAAACACGAATATTAATCATTGATAGGTAGATCGTGTGCCTTGTGTCAGGAGAGTGCTTATATTTGTGGAGCCGGTGTTGCGGTTCAAAACACTGTAACTGGACGGTCGCCTCTCCTGAAGTATACATGATATCTTGTATCTGTGGGGACAAATATTCTCTCAGAAGAAATATGGTGAAAGTGCCTCCTGCAGTTTGATCTGATTATTTGCTTTTGTTTAGTTTTGTATCCGTTTTGGCAAAACCACAATAAACTTCTTCAGCACTCGTGTGACTTGTCATTGTGCACTGAAAGTGACCATAGACACTAACATCCGATGGGGAAAAAGACAACTGACAACCGGGAGTTTGCCAAGTGAGAATAGCGAGTAAAAACTCTTCAAGCTTGTTTTAAATATGTATCGCGGGAGAATTGTTTCTTGTAGTCCACTGAAGATGAGATCAATATTTGTCACATTAATTCTCCTTTTTCCCTTTGAGTGGCATTTTAGAAGAACAATAATAACAAATGTTATGGAGAGCAATTTAGTTTATTTCGCAAGTGGGGCGTTTGATTCAGATTCTTGTACCGTTGTCAAGCATTAGTTGTACAAGAATCTGTATCGATTATTATTTATCGTATTGGCAAACATCTAAACAAAATAGCTATGAAGTGTACCCATGCCTTATTGCACTAACCTACCCTCTTTTGTAGTTGACGAGTCTCCCCCCTACAAGAGGTGAGGTGACGTGGGGTTTAACGTCGTACTTAAGAATACACCATGCAAGAGTTAAGCATGAATACTACTGGTGTGACGATTCATTGATATGCATACAAAGTTTTATATTGTCATACATACCGATACGATACTTCAAATGGGCCACGATACATCGATGTTTTACTTTGAATATTGCCGAATCGCGATATGTCAAGAAAGACTTTGTTTTTATCTTAAGCAAGGTGTTTTATAGTTGGAGTTAGAATAAATGGCGGTCCCACCTACAAGAAGTACACCTACCGTGTCAAGGCTACCAATGGGTTTTTACTTGATGAAAAAGCAGGGGTCATTAAAACACATAAGAATCTCATATATGAGAGGTTTAAATGAAGCTTTAACACACAGGCTAAAAGGACAAAGTGATGATAGCCGCTATAGGACCCATTTTTGTAGATGAATACAAGTCTTCTAAAACATGATCTATTTCAAAAAGATCTGGAGCCTATATAAAGATTTGATATCGAGGTTCAACATACAAATACATAGAAGCGAGAAAGCCTTTTCCACATTCTTAACAAATTTCTGCTAAAAGCAGAGTCAATTGTACAGTTGTGACTCAACATGTGCATACATGTGTTTCAGCAGTATTAGGTTTATGATCATGAAGTTCACTTTCACTATTCCACATCCACATATATTAAAACCAATCATTTTCCTAACTACAAATTCTTTGTTTCCACAGTACTTTGTATCCCACGCTTCCATTCCATATATCCTAAAAGGCTAGCTTTTCCTATTCCTCTACTGCTTGGTGTGCTCAGCAGCATGGGTGCCCGCTACCATTTATATATCCTGAAGGAGTTCTTCCAGTCCGACCCTTCAACAGGTTTGGAGTATTCAGCACGGTGTTTCCTCGAGATTGGTCCCCACGTGGAGTCAGGTCTCAAACAGGTGCCCACTCTCTAGCAAATACAACACATATGCGTAATTGTCAATTTAATGATTTGATGTAAGAACACAATATCCATCGGAATGAATGAATGGAATTAAATACACTGTTGTTCGGCGTTGCAAAATCTCAAGTAAATAGTCGCTCCAGAAACAAAAACTTACTCCATATCCCGTCATAACAGACTAAGTCGTGTTAAGGTTGTGAATGTATATCCACTGTGACAAGTCTATTTTTTTCAGAAAAAGAAACAGTTTTGCATACTTATTTCATCTGATATGTGAGCGGTGGGGTAGCCTGGTGGTTAAAGCGTTCGCTCGTCATGCCGAAGACTCGGGTTCGATTCCCTAACTGGGTACAAAATGAGCAGCCCATTTCTGGTGTCCCCCGCCGTGATATTGCTTGAATATTTTTTTAAAGTGGCGTAAAACTAAAACTTACTCCCTCTGCTGATATGTTTTCTCATGATTCACACTTAAGGAGAAGACAAAGAACCAATTTCCAAGCCAGATAATAGAATCAAACGTATCATTATGCCACACCTCGCTGAGAGGAATAACACCAACGCTGCAGGTATGGCGCTAAAACTCTATTAATCTCATTGACAATCCGACAAAGTACATATTCACTGCTGAACAATTCGAAAAAGATACTTCGACAACGACACCCCACAAAGGCTATGTTTCAGGGCGGCACAGGCCCGAATCGCAGAAGTTCTCGGGAGTAAAGTGGATGAACCCTGTCACACTAATCTGGGGAACAGCTTAGCTCAACAGACATTACTCAGAGCCGCATACAGCCTGTTATAGGAAATATGAATATCATCAAAAGAAACAGATATCTTACCTCAACAAATGATCCTTTTGCCTTTACCAACTCCTTTATCATACAGATTGGCACCGGTACCATGGATACCAGACCAATGAATAACCCAATGGCTACGCCATAGGTCGGGTACTCATAGTCCCCGTATGTTGGAGCCTCGTACTGTACAAGAGTCAGGACGAAACACATCTGGAAATAATAATCATCAGCAGTTAGTGATTTGATCATAGCTAGTGAGTGCTTGATACTTACGCAAAGTACAATTACATAGATACCAGAGAGGGGTCATCTATTTCTCAAAACCAGAAAATCATATAGATAGAAATGGAGAATTCCATACATATCTTGGACTATTATTTTGATAATGGCAAAAGGCGGCTAATTCTGACTCGATCACAGACAGACAAGGGCGGAACCACGTTTGTCAACACTGAAAGTAGTACCTACCTAATTATATTCACCGTTAACCCCTTTCATACGTAGGATTTATGTTGCCAATTCGAATGATAGATTTTAGATTACAAAACGAATGGAACATTTTCCATATTCAACATCAACGAGTTTAGTGATCTATTCATTACACACAGGATGGGAAAACAGTGTATTCAAAGAACTGAATATCAAGCAGACGATGTGGGATGTAAAAAAATCAAAATGGAGATAACTCTGTCACGACTGCTTTATAGATGAAAATATACAATTAAACATGTTCAATTAAAAAATAATACCAATCCCCAGGACACCGAAATTGAATTATAATTATGCACAAACCTAATGTTTTGGTTGGTTGACATTTTTGGTCAAAAACTGCTTGAATGGAGTTATAATGTTAATTTAAAATACAGAGCTGGCAACAGAAAGGTCAAATAACCAAAATTATCTCATAGAGATATTCAGAACACATGTGTAATAATGTAAAATACATAACCAGTTAATCTACATGTAGCATGTATTTACTTACAGCCATTAGGATTGGAGATACAAAACACCACATCATCTTCATGAACACTGGGGGTCTCCGTCCAAGCATCATCTGAATGTCACCACTGAACCGGGCCGCGCCTGACAAGCGGACAGAGCACCACTGACATCAAGGCAGCACTTATGGTGTGCAACAGATAACATCTCGGATTGCATGAGAGTGAGTTTAGTTTTACGCCGCACTCAGCAATACTCCAGCTATATGGCGGCGGTCTGTAAAAAATTGAGTCTGGACCAGACAATCCAGTGATCAACAGCATGAGCATCGATCTGCGCAATCGGGAACCGATGACACGGATTGCATGAGAAGACGACTTGGTGTCGTATATATAAATCGTCAGTCAAAAGAATAACCAGTCTTGGGTTTAAAGGGGAAACTATCTGGAAGTATATGAATGGACAACAGATGACACCAGGTGTTGCCCTATAGCAACTACAGTATTGTTGGCCTGACGCCGCACTGCAGTAGTTTTGCCATGCGACAAACCAGACAATCAAGTGATCGATGAACCAGAAAATTATGTTAATTTTAATTACGACTAATGCAGAGACGTTCACAGATTCCGTTGAAAAACATTTTAGAAATAAATTGTTGGCGGTCACAGTGGCGGTCAGTTTTAATGTCTCTTGTCAAACATTTCTTTTGTTATTGAATCAGCATTGATAAATACAAGAAAAAAGATAAAACATTCAGATCGACGAAGCATGTCTGACAACACTAGTTCACACAAGCGTGTCTACTCTGTGTGTTACCGTATATCCATCCGATGATGACACACTCCATGATCCCCACCACTAGAAGACTGAAGGTCGCCACATACCAGTCGATCAGCACGAACACGTAGATACCGCCCTGTAACAGAATACACGATTCAGGGTTGTCAAAGGGCCCCAGCAACCTATACTGGGCACAGGATGTGAACAATGTGAACAGCCATACGTGAAGAGGCTCGGTTACTTCGGGTTAGAATTAGGTCTTCAGCAACCCATGGTTGTCTCACGTGAAGATCCCCAATTGGTCTTCAGCAACCCACGCTTGTCTCACGTGAAGATCCGGGTTAGAATTGGTCTTCAGCAACCAATGCTTGTTGTAAGAGGGATCGGGTGGTCAGGCTCGCTGATTTGGATGACACATGATATCATGTATCATTTGCGTAGATCGATGGTCATGCTGTTGATCACTTCATTGTTTTGTTCGTACTCGATTATTTACAGACGTGCCGCCATTTAGCTGCAATATTGGTAAGTGTGGCGTGAATTATAAACAAATAGTTGATCTGAAGGTTTCTAGTTGTATCTCGTGTTTTGGTTCGCTGGTCAAGATTGTATGTGTCTTTCTTGTTTGGTCCAGACCATTGCCATACAGGAATATTGCTCAGTCATAAACCAGAAATATCTGCAGACACGGCATTTTTCAACAATGGTCTTAGAACAAATACCCTATTAATGTTAAATTTGACCTAGTCAGGATCAATAACTAAAATACAAAATTAAACTAAATATAAAACGCTAGTGCCCGAAACTAAACCCAACCCTATGTCCATAACCATGACAGCTAGTAAAGCGTTCATAAAATACATTCTCAAATTACTGTGCAGCTCAAACGTTGTGTAAAAGCCTTCCGCCTGTACATTCATCAAAATATAGTTTGTGTTTGTACTTTGAAATTCCATGAAAAATGAAATTTCAGGAATGAATTCTACACAAATCAGGCATTGTTTGGTCGTCCTTGTTTTTCACGCCTTACCCGTGTGACTAAAACAAGTCCAGAGATGTAGCTGAATCCACACAAACAAGCGGTCACCAGACCTCGCCTTTGATGAAGCTTGTTCGGAAATGTATCTACAATTGCAGTTACTGTTGTCTCGGTCGTTCCAAACTAGAACAAACATAGAAATGTTACAACTCCTGTTACACGGGAATATCCTTGAACACTCGTCCAAACAAAACCATTATCAAACCATGCTATTAGCCATACAGACAAACTGCAAATTTACGTACTTTCTCCTGTCTCTGTCCTTTTATTGACTCAAAGACAATATAAAGACTAGATTTTTACGTTGGTCGAGTATTGAATTTGATCAAGTAATACAGAGTGAAAATGGAATGTATATGTTTCTCCTTCTCATTGTGTGTAGTCGACGCCACGTCGTATATTGTCATATAGAGGGGTGGGGTGAGGGGTTGGGGGTTGGGGTCGCCTTACCTGAGAGTCTACTCCCACCGTCACCAGCATGATGAAGAAGATAACTGCCCACAATTGTGGTACCGGAAGTAGCGCAAGAGCTTCTGGGTAAGCCACAAAACCAAGTCCAGGCCCTGCAGTGCACAATTCGTTTGTGCTTTAGCCAGTATATTTTGTATTAGTATTGGGACTAACAAACTAGCAATCAGACATGTCCTGAAATTTTGCCTGATTTTGGGGGTCTGTAATAGTGAATTTGAAATAACTACATGTATAATTGAAATGTTTGTCGGTAATAGGTTCGTTATGATACAGCTGGAAGTTTGCTGAAAAACACAAATCATTTAATCGCACACATTATATTCAAACACCGGTATCTTTGCTGTCTCTACACATGGAAGAGAATGTAACTAAAAGCTAACAAACTGAACTACGATTAATTGTTTCAACTCGTTTTCCGTTTTTGTGTTATCACGCCTCCTAACCTGCTTTGATGACCTCTGATATGTGAACCCCTTTGCTCTCCGCCATGAATCCAAGAACGGAGAAAATGGCGAAGCCTGCGTAGAAACTCGTGCCCTCGCTGAGGAACGTGATCATGACAGCATCCCTACAAGTTGAATAACTCAGTGTTATATCTTAAGATCAGAAAAATCCAAGTTTGTGTTTTTGTATTTTCTAAAACCAAAGGGAAGTAACTCTAACCATTGTAGCCCTAGAAGGGGTGCTCACTTAAGAAGAATGACACAACATAGAGATTATGAAACGGTCACTATCTCATATTATGGAAGTGTCAGTTTATATACGCTAAGCTAATTTCAAGACAAGTATTTTCAATCTTAATTTCCTGCTATTTTATGTACATTGCATTATTTATCGTATTGTTTCGTTGTTCTTGCAGTCAATCACTCGCACTCTCTCATGCGCACAAGCGCGACACACTGTCAAGTTATTGTAAAATGCAAGAAACTAGAACAATACAAAGCGTGGAAGGAAGATTGTTGCCCTCTTATTATTGAAAAGACTAAGATTCGACTCAAGAAATCCATACTCAGCTTGAAAATTAACCACTTGCTTATCGTTCTTGAATTGTATAACCAGTGGTACTCCGCTGTCTGATATACCAGTATTAAAACATGACATGTTGAAGACACTCATGTCAGTATCGTCTGCGAGTAATAGTTTGTCATGTACATATAAGTCAAGAGCATGAATGACACAATTATATACTGTATTACAATCATATACTGCACAGGTAATAGTCCTAATCAGGGCATCATGAATATGCAATCATTTCTGTTTTTCCTACTTGTACGTATTGTAACAGCTACGAGCGTTCATCTGGCTGTAAAAAAGAGTTCGATAATAGAGTACACCACTATGAACACATCATAGCCCTTGGACGAAATTCTCAGAATGGCGTCTTTGAGTGACATATATTGACAAACTTCTTTTATTTCGTGAGTGCGACGTTTCGATACAGATTATTGTTCCGTTGTCAAGCAGTATGTTTAGATACAGAAAATGGGTTTCTTAACCTCGTACTCACGAAATAAAAGAAGTTGGAATCTATAAAGTTTGTCAATACAGTTCTATGAAATTCAATCATGAACAGAAGAATTGGTACAAAGCCATGACATGGGATTGAAGGAGTTACTTTCCTACCACCTTCTGCTCATGAAACCAGCTGTGACTATTTTTGCCTGACTTATCGCTCGTTTTGGTCACCTCGGCAAATACTGTATACTTTTATACCTTGATAAAAGTACTACATGGAGTTAAATGGTAACTGCGTCTGCAGTCTATACACACAGTGATTCGACTTTCACTTAGCTTGTAGGTAAAGAGCATCAAACGATAAAGGCACGGGGTTCCACAGCTACAACACGTGTTGATGGACATGTTGCCTACAGTGTCTACGAAACATGCTCCAGGACGGATACATTCATGCCTCGTTTAACCTTCTACTACCTACCTACCTACCTACCTACCTACCTACCTACCTACCTACCTACCTACCTACCTACCTACCTACCTACCTACCTACCTACCTACCTACCTACCACGCGCACGCACACGCACACGCACACGCACACGCACACGCACACGCACGCACACGCACGCACACACACACACACACACACACACACACACACACACACACACACACACACACACACACACACACACACACACACACATGAACCTTTTAGAATTCATGATTTACGCGTGTACCCCCTTCTCCAAAATCCTGGATCCGCCTCTGCCCACCGTACCCAATGGGTCAAAAGGGGGTATCAAACATGATTATTACAATTTAGATATACCCAGGTCCTACAATTCAAATGTTATCAGTTCTCACTTGGAAATGATACCTCAAAAAGGGTTCGTATCAGATGGCAAGGTGTCGTAGATGGTACAGTCAATAGTGGCAGTAGTTCTAAAAAGACAGGTGTATTGTTTGAATTTGGCACATGTACCTATAGCAGTTGTTGGAGAACCTGTTGTAGCTGGCTATGGTGTGAAGGCCGCCCCAGGTAACGCCGAGAGAGTAAAACATCTGCAGCATCGCCTCCATCCACACCTGCAACCACCACAGTGATCAAAGTTACTGACCCTTGAATCTGGATTCTGAGATAAGTGATGTTTGATGGTGTAAGCGGCTGCCTCACACACTATTATACATTTGTCGTTTATGGAGTAGCGTCCCTTGAGGACGCCAAAAACCTGTAGTTACGGGATCGAAGCATGGTTCGCCACGATTATATACCTAGACGTATCAGCAAATTAGTAAACAACTAAGCCCAGCACGTCTTTGAGCGGGCGTTGTTCCTACATTGAACGGCCGCCTTCGTGGTGTAGTGGTTAGAGCGTCAGCCCGGAGAGCGGAAGGTCGCGGGTTTGTTCCTCAGCCGCGTCATACCAAAAGAAATTAAAATATGGAACTTGTTGGTCCCTGCCTTGTGCTCGGCATTAATGGGTACAACAAGGACTGGTCGGCTCGGAGTCAGTATAATGTGTCTGAGTGGGGTATCCATGCTCAACTGCGGCATGGTATCTCAGTGAGCTACTATAAAACCAGCCTAAGTCTGGGCTAGTAGAAGCAGCCGCACATACACACGCATGCACGTCGTCATATGAGCAAAATATTCTTAAGTGCCACGTTAAACCCCATTTTACCTCACCACCTACATTGAATCGCCATGCAGTCGTACTGGAATACTGTTTAAACGTTAAGCAGTAGTCAATTGTATTTATTCAATATAGCTTGTGCATATCGCATAATCAGGTTCTTCTCCTGATGATAAACACCAAAACCGACACTGATATATGATCAGCCATGCTGAGGAAATGCGCCGAATTAGAATTTATCTTTCACAAGCACGAACAGCTGCTGTCATCCCCAGATGATGATAGTTCATAAATACCTGTTATATGGTGGAAAGCGTACAGCCGTCATGAATAGGACACAATCTGTCGCCTCATTTACCTGCAAGTCAGCCAGTCGACTGAAGTCTGGACTGACGTAGTAGATGATGCCTTGGGTAGCTCCTGGCAGCATCACGGCGCGGATGAGGATGACTGTGATGAGTATGTAGGGCAGTGGGGCCGTCACATACACCACCTGGAGCAGGAGCAACGTGGCCATTGATTTGGGCCACCATAAGCACTCTGACATAAGCTGACATAAGCAGCTTTCCTGCTTGTTGTCTTTTATCTGGTCATGCTGAATTGACATATTATGTAGTGTACCTGTTTCTGTTTTCTATCAACCATGTCATCAACCCTCTTGGAACTTGGGCGGTGGGGTAGCCTAGTGGTTAAAGCGTTCCCTCGTCACGCCGAAGACCCGGGTTCGATGCCCCACATGGGCACAATGTGTAAAGCCCATTCCTGGTGTTCCCTGCCGTGATATTGCTTGAATATTGCTAAAAGAGGCGTCAAACCGAACTCACTCACTCACTCACTCCTGGAACTTAGTTAGATTAGGTGCCTTGCGCCCGACTGTTTACTATGGAATCCTGGAAGGGACATTGTCGCGTTGTAGCCCTCTCAAAAACAAGCAAAATTAGGCAAAATTAACCAAAACGCGACAACGCGACATTTTGCCCATTTGTCGCATTGTCGCGATGTCGCGTGTCGCGTTTTGAATAAAAAAAAAATATTATTCCTCCAAAGGGCGACACGCGTCATAGCAACAATTTTCAACGTCAAAATATGTCGCGTTGTCGCCCTATGTAAGATGTGTAAAAACAGCCTAAAAATTTACTAAAACGCGACACGCGACAATGTAACAACGCGACATTTTGATGAAATGTCGCGTTGTCGCATTGTCGCGTGTTGCGCTTTGTTAAAATATTGAATATAGCATGTATTATAACATATGACTAAAACGCAAAACGCGACAATGCGACAAAATATATGTCGCGTTGTCGCCCTTTTCTATTACCGTTGCGCATGCGTAGAAAGTTAATTAGTCTACGCATGCGCAGAAAATGTTATACTGTATTTCAGACTTTACTGGTGTTTTGTTACCTCCAATGTTTTTACAATGAAGTAGTGCTCGTAATGGCAATGGGGGCTGCTTTCTTGAACTTAATGGAAATCTTTCATTGTTGCTTTATTATTTTATATATTGTAAATGTGTTTAGCCACTCAAGCGTGTTTCAGCAGCCAGACAAATTATTGGCGCTACTATTCATTGTAATGAATGGTGGCCCTGTCATTCAAGGCGAGGCAATTTGCTAGTCACACTAGATAACTATGATCATAGGTTCGAACCCCAGCACCATACACATTCATCACTTTGAACATTTCACCCATATCAGACAGACATATTTATTTGTATATGTGGCCCTGAGGCCAATAGTACATGTGTACAATAATAGCAGTGCATTTATGCGCAACCTGTAAATACGCGAGTTATAGGAACATCAATAAATCCATAAACACCCATTCACAATTTACATTTTTTCTCTCAACATAAGTATGTGGTACAACACAAGGGCTAGCTTAAACAACAAGTCAATGTTTTCTGTGCGAAGTAGCATACAGAATTTATGTCTCGACGGTTGGTTATAGAAAAAAATAAGGCAAATATGTTTCTCTTATTTCTAAATATTTCGGGCATACAAGTAATACATGGTACTCATCTTCTTGTGATAAATTGCAGAATGGACATTGGATATCTATTGCATTTGAAGTTTTGGCAAATCGCGCCGCTTGGACTTTGAAGTTGTAAGCGTTACATCTAAATTTAGTAAGCGTACGCTTAAGTTGTGGTGATTTAATCTTTGAAAGGTAAATTTCTGTATTAATACAATATTTATATTCTGAATAAAAGTTGACACAGGTTGATGACGTTATTTCATTATACCAGTCCTGTTGATAAATGTCTTTGCATCTCTGCTTGAATAATTTGATGAAATATTGTGTATTACTTACATTTTGGGCGATCCATACATTTCCAAAGCCATGACTAAAAAGAATAGTTCTAACGAATGAAACCCAATTAATATCTCCGGTATCATCTAGTGTTTTAAGCATTTCATAACTACATCTTGAATATCGTGAAATTGGTTGTCTCATCAATCTTAGCCAATATGAAATAACCCGACATCGGGCGTTAATAAACAGTGGAAAACGTCCACATTCAGCTAAAATAACCTTGTTCGCAGTTCTGTAGCCAACACGCAACAAGAACTTACAGAACTTTGAATGTACCTTTTCAATATTCTTGTTTATGTTAATGCCCCATATTTCTGAGCCGTACAACAAAATTGGTTGAATTTTTCCATCAAACAGTTTAAATGATGCATGGATCGGTAATTCTTTATATTTGCATATGAATTTCTTTATGACATGTAGGGCTCGTTCAGCTTGCATAGATAATGTTTCACAGGCTCTGGAGAATATATTTCTACACGAAAATATTATACCTAAATATTTGTAATATGACACCACCTCCAATTTTTGGCCATTAAGGAACCAATTTTCACTTTTAGAGATTTTACCCCCATTTTTAAAACGGCATTACTTTAGTTTTACTAATATTTATCTGAAGACCCCATTTCAAACAATATTCATTTAGAGTATCTATCTTGCATTGTAACTGGACAACAGAATCGGCAAGAATCACGACATCATCTGCAAATAGCATTATTGCAAGATCTCTGATATGTTCGTTAATAAATACACCTCTCGTATCATTTAATAACATTTCCTTAACAAGTTCTTCAACATATAACAGGAAAAGTACAGGTGATAGAATGCAACCTTGCCTCACTCCGGCATATGTATCAAATATATCACTCATTTGAAATTTACTGGTTCTAACAGATGCTCTCACATTGGTGTACATATTACGTAAAAGACGTTGGAGTTTGCCATGTATACCTGACTGTAGTAGTACATATAACAGTTTTGACCTATTAACGGAATCAAACGCTTTCTTAAAATCTACGAAAAGACAATAAAACTTCCCCCCTTTCTTCCGCAGATATTTATGGATAATACTGTTGAGAGTAAATATATGGTCCGTAGTTGAATACTCTTCTCGAAATCCCGCTTGGCACTCAGATAAAAGTTCACGAGTGGAAATCCAAGCCTTAATGCGATTATCTAATATAGTGGTAAATATTTTGTTTAGTGTATTCAATAATGCAATACCTCTATAATTGTTTGGATCACCCCTTTCACCCGACTTATGCAGAGGTACAATTAATCCTACATTCCAGGAATCTGGAAAAACGCCGCTGTCTAGAACTCGATTAAATAGACTATTCATAAAAGGAAGCAATAAAGAAATACATTCTTTAAAAACTTCAACTTGAATACCATCTACCCCGGGTGATTTTCCACATTTCAGACTTTTTACTGCACACAATATCTCGTTATCAGTTATACGATTACCAAGGTATTCATCAGAAGTAATACAATCCTCACAGTCATTAAAGTTGTGATTACTTATATAGCTAAGAACATGTTCCCCAAAGGAATTATCAATGTTGTTCGTATCTCCAGCGAGCAGATTTTTTTGAAATAGTTAAACCATTCGTCAACTGATATATTTTCAGATATATTTTCCCTACAAAAACAATATTTCTTTATAGATTTCCAGAAATGTCGACAGTCTTGTTTCTTTGCAGCATCAACAATTTCGTTTAAAATGCTTTTTTCATAATCTGATTTCTTTCTATCACAAAGTGTTTTAAAATCCTTCTTTGCCCTTAGATAATGTTTACAATGCAGTGAGTTATTTGATTTTCTGAATCTATTTAGTAAAACATACTTATGTCTTTTAGCCTGTTCGCATTCACGGTCGAACCACCTGGGCTGTACACGTGTGTGCTGTGGGCGAGCGCGTGAGCGTGAGTGTGCACGTGTTCTCGTGGGTCGGTGTGTTTGTTCCCTGGGTGCATGCATGGCTCTACGGATAAAGTCATTCAGCGATGTAATAGCACCTTCAACACTGTCATGTAATACATCATGAAATATTATGCTGAATTCATTAATATTATCTGAAATGTATTGAATAAACTCACCCTTACGGCTAGCGTCCCACAGCTCTGTCTCAATGTTGTGTACCTCTGCACGCGCATGCTCGGAGTGATTGCTGTCACGTGTCATGTCATGTGATGTTTTCATATCTACTATTACAGGCAAGTGGTCCGATTCGGATTGCGCTAGAATATCAAAGTTCTCGAAATATCTATATAAACATGAGGAAACCAAACAATAATCCACAACACTGTTTCCTTGGTGTCCAATGAATGTAAATTCTCCATTTTTATCGTTCCCGTTTCTACCATTTAAAACATGTATGTTAAAATTGCGGCATATATCAAGGAGTTTTAATCCCTCTGAATTGACTATTTTATCTTTGGATGATCTAGGAATGTTAAATGGATCACTCTCATAGTCTATATCTTCAATTGGTAAATACTCAGTGGAGTCATGTTCTATATAACACTGTTTGTCGCCTATACGGGCATTAAAATCTCCAAATAAAACAAGCGATGCATCGGGATGTTCTCGGGTTAAAGTATATAGTCTACTCTCAAGGAGTCCGATTCCTGAAAGTCCTACATCAACGGAGTTCTGTGTATCAGTCACATATACGAACCCAAATATCGTGGGTTTATTGGCGAGGTCGTTCATAATGTCGCTTCTGAAAAAATATACAGTCTGACCACTCGCCGTGTATACGGGTGAATCTTGATGCGATGGACTGTCTCACATACACAGCGATACCGCCACTGAATCGTCCGACAGAGTGGATGCGTTCTCGCACACACTGGTAGGAGATATATCCTGGAAACAGAGTAGCAAAATCTACTGGGTTCTTTGCCCACGTCTCCACGAAAGCGATGACATTAAATTGTTGACATAACCCTGTGAGGTTAGCCAATTGACTTAATTTAGAATTAAGGCCATTTACGTTCCAACATAGAAATGTATTATAATTACTTTTTTCACCGTTGTTATCGTTATCATTGCCATTAATTGTTGATATTGTCTTATTGAGTTTTCCATCTATAATGAAATGTGTACTTAGCTTCGTACGGGCTGCTGATGCCCGGCCTCGGCCACCTCGCTAACTATGCTGTGAGTTGTCCAAACAGTCTCGTCGTCTGCTATACTGGCTCGGCGACTCTCGTCGCGTGCCAGACCGGTCCCGTGCCCTAGAGGGTGGGTGAAGCACGGCTCGCTGGGGATCCGCCGTCTTCCTACCTCACGCAATGAGTCCTTATCCCAGTCATATGTGTAGACCGTGTTATTAACCACGAGTTTGTCATAAGATATATAACAATCTTCCCCCTTTTCTCTGTATGTTTGCAGAAACGTCCCCAGTTGTCTCCGTGTGTTCCTTACGGCCTGGGTGAAGTCGGGGGATACCCGAACCTCTCTGTTACCACTAAGTTTTTCCTTGGCTATTTTACTGACATATTCTCTATCTTTAAAAGCAGAGAATTTCACAATTATTATCGTTTCTAATATCATAATGATAACAGTCCATTTGTATGATGTTTTCCCAAGAAGAATATCAGGTTCAAAGCGGACCTAAACTGTCTTTGAGGTGCTGGATGGTTAAGTGATATTACCATCTCATTCTACCTGGTATCCATCCACTGCTCGCTGAACAGAGGCAGATGTCGGACAAATTCATCAGCGTCGGACAGGACTGTACCAAGAAACTCTATCAGGAGCCAAACTGTGCAACATAGTGACCCATTCGTGGACATCACTTGATGTTTCTGCTGATGTTGCCTGAATTTCAACAATATTTCAGTTTTTTCACAACCTGTGAGCTTGATATGGGTGAAATGTCCAAAGTGATGAGTGTGTATGGTGCTGGGATTAGAACCTATGATCATAGTTTTCTGGTGTGACTAAGAGACACAACCCTGCACAGCAAATTGCCCCGCCTTGAATGACAGGGCCACCGTGTGCCGTCATTACAATGAATAGTTGCGCTAATGATTTGTCTTGCTGCTAAAACACACTTGATTGGCCAAATATATTTACAATATATACAATAATTTTCAAAGCAACAATGAAAGATTTGCATTAAATTCAAGAAAAGCAGCCCCCATTATCATTACGCGTACTACTTCATTGTAAAAAACCATTGGAGGTAACAAAAGACCACTGAAGTGTGAAATAGAGTATAACTTTTCCTGCGTTTGCGTAGACTAATTGACTTTCTACGCATGCGCACCGGTAATCGAAAAGGGCGACAATGGGACATATTGAATACGTCGCATTGTCGCGAGTCGCGTTTTAGTCACATTTTAGGCTTCTTTCTACACATCTTAGATAGGGCGACAATGCGACAACGCGACAAATTTTGACCTTGAAAATTGTTGCTATGTCGCGTGTCGCCCTTTGGAGGAATAGAAAAATATTATTCAAAACGCGACACACAACATCGCGACAATGCGACAAATGGGCGAAAGGTCGCGTGTCGCGTGTCGCGTTTTGAATAATATTTGCCTCATTTTACTTGTTTTTTGAGAGAGCGACAATGCGACAACGCGACAGTGTCCCTTCTCGGATTCCATAGTTTACCGTAAGATTCTGATAAACTGGATCGGGTGGCCAGGCGGGTGGGTGGGTTGATTGTGTATAATCGTACCCCTACGATGAAGATCGTTGCTCACAATTTCGATCACAGAATTATTGGTACATACTTTTATAGCTGTTAGTGCAGCGTTGAACAACACGGAAGCAGACACCAAAACAATTTAGGCTGAAACACAACATCCATGTCATATCACCGATCGACCCCGTGAACGATTTCACTCACCTTGCCAACAGATTTGACACCTTTGATCAGACAGAGAAAGATAATGACCCATGCGACAAAGAGGGCGAGTGCCATGTGCCATTGTATCCCTCCCATGTCGTGTAGACCCGCCGAAACCCGCAGTGTATTGTACCTGAAGAAATAGTGTCATGATATATAACAGGGTGATAATGTGTGCTAGTTGTTCAGGTAAATACGTCGTATTAAATGTATTTATAAAACGACAAAGACACCGAGGAATGCTGTATTCTACGATACACTCGTAGCCATTTGTATCAAAAAACCGCCTCAGTCGTCAGGGGCGTAGCTACCATTATAAAAAAGCCGGGCTTACACTTACACATGATTGTTGCTAAAAGATTGGGCAATCATTAAAATACTATCTAAATATAGAGTTTTGCAACCTATCAGGCTTACACGAAAAAATTGGCTTGCAACGCGCCTGGTCGTCAAGGTGGAATGGCAACAAATCTATTGCGTATTGCAAATGGACGTTGCCCACTGAAGATTAGATGCCTCTTGTATAGATACCTCATTGAAACCTTGTCCTGAAGCGCTTGGTTTGAAATGAAAGTTAGAGGTATAGCACTATAAACTGTTAACTTTGTCATTAGAGTTAACGACTAAAATTATATGCCGCTTGTAGCTCTTCGACACCTTGATCAGTATTCACCTTGTTGATATTATTGTATCACTGCACATTTCTTCAATCCAGCAGTAAGTTAAAAAATTCTTACTGCCAAAATTCTTCCGCTGCTGATGTTGAGACGTTGAGACGTGTTTTGTTGACGTAGCTAGATACGCTAATGTTGTCAGACAATGTCAGATTGTCTCTTGTTTTGTTGACGGCGTCCCAGGTGGTACATGCGGGTGTGTTCCACCAGTTGGAGCAGGTGGTCCAGGGCAGGACAGGGTAGAAGGACATGACCAGGTAGTACAGGACCCAGGCAATGATCAGGTTGAAGTAGAAGGAGCAGATGAAGGAGGCAATGCTCATCACGTAGCCAAGGCCTGGGGTTGTAAAATATTGTTTTACTTTTCATATTTTATATGAAAACCTGAAGTTGTTTGAGTGAATAGTTTTACGTTGCACTTAGCACTATTCCAGCTATATGGCGGTGGTCTGTAAATAATCGAGGCTGGACCAGACAATCCAGTGATCAATAGCAGGAGTATGATCAACAGACTTGGGATACGATGACATGTCAACCAAGCCTGCGTTAGTCGCCTCTTACTGCAGGCATGGGTTACTGAGGATCAATTTTAACCCGGATCTTCACGGATCTGAAGTTCTATGAAAATGTGGAAGTTCATTACTGACGCAACAATCGTTTGACATTGCTTGGTTACAATAGCATCATGTTTACATTGCTTGGTTACAATAACATCATGTTTGACATTGCTTGGTTACAATAGCATCATGTTTGCGTTGCTTGGTTACAATAGCATCATGTTTACATTTCTTGGTTACAATAGCATCATGTTTACCATATTGAATAATGCTACTTTCATCTGCAATTATTATTTTTGAAGTAAGTTATGAATTCTTGTTATATACAGGGTAACTTCACCTTTAAAGAGTGGACATATGCTCCACACATGCATAGCCCCACTTCCAGAAAACTGGCCAATAGAAAGCTCCAGAAAGAACAGAGGCAAGCCAATCAGGACAAGGCATACCATATATGGTATCAGGAACGCCCCTGGAATATACACATATGATTAAAGTTGTTGTCACCAAGTGAGCTTTAACCAGTCAGACTATGTACTTTCAATGTGTTTTGTGTATATAATGTATGAAGACGAGTGATGTTCCCAGTAGTGTTGGTATTGTCAAACGAGTTCGTTAAGCGTGTATGTGTATAATGCAGAACAGTGCAAATGGATAACTAGTCCTTTCCACAGAAATACATATTCCGTTTGATGCAAAGGGAAAATTATATGAATGGATCACCGAAAATGGATCACCAGGTTTTCGTTACAAAAGGGAAGCATGTACTGTCTGTAAATAATCGAGTCTGGTCAGACAATCCAGTGATCAACAGCATGAGCAGAACTATTTTGGATGACGCCGCATAGCAGTAATATACTGAACAGCAAAAGAAATGCAAGTTTCGAAAAAATGAAATCTCATAAAAGTAAGCGTTCATGTTTATGTCTTCTATTTAAAAAATTGACAAAAAGCGGAGTTGCGTTTCTTTTGCTGTTCAGTATACTACGCTCCATTGACCAACGGCCTGAGCATATATCTGCGCAACTGGGATACGATGATGTGTCAACCAAGTTAGCGAGCCTGACCACCTGATCCCGTTTAGTCGCCTTTTACGTTGGTTGCTGAAGACTAATTCTAACCCAGATTTTGAATAGATATTTGTACGTAAATTCGGAGGTGCTTATAACATTCTAGCTGTACATGTGGCAGTTGTGGATTATGTTCCTAGGCCCTATGTGAGGCAATTACACGACGTGGATGCAATAATCTTTGAATAAGGTTTGTTTTCTGCCAAAACTATTAGACAATAAGTGAAAGGGCATTGTGCTAGTCAGAATCGAAGGGCATATTGCAATCAGGCTGTTGATGCACCCAGACACTATCACTGTAGGGTGGACTTGTGGGGATCCAGCGACTAAATGGGTGGGTCGGCCATACTTGCTGACCTGGTTGATGACATGCTATGTATTATTTACATGAAATTCCAAGTGGATCCGTATGAAAGCCCTAATTCAGAGTATGCATTCGTGATAAATAGTGAGTTTCACTGAGTAAGTGATGAGTGATTAAGTCAATGAGACAGTGAAAAACTACATTCCACGAAGTGTATAAATAGAACAGAAGTGTTCTTAATTAATGCTTACGTTGTTTAAAACACCTATGATTTTAGTTAGCAGGTGCGCGTTTTTTCAAAGGTCCTCATAGACCGGTTATGGCCCGGGAAAGCAAAATCTGGACCAAACCTCCTCAATTTAGGTGTCGCTTTCGTGTATGGACGTGTATATTTAATAACAGTTCACGATATTGATTAAATTTAGATGTGGATTGCTAAGATTAAAGTATGATGAAGGTAGATGGCAAAATATTTATGTAACGGAACGCAACTGTCCATTGTGTAATTTAGGAGTAGAAGATGAGTACCACTTTTTTTTTTTTGTAATGTCTATAATGCTCTTAGATCAAAATATTTACCATCTGAATATTGTCAAAAACCTAATTATCACAAGTTGAAATCCCTATTAACTACTAATAACAAAACACCTCTAAGAAAATTATGTACATATTTATACCATGCATATGAACTAATTCATTAAGATATATATTTGTGTATGTTTTCTCCATGTACTGTACCTTTATAACTATGTGTTGTAAACTCAACCTTTGCTATTGTGTAGATGTGTAAACTTCATCTCAGTTAAGAGGCTCAGAGATCGAGTATTGGGGTCGCGCGCTAATCTGAAGTACGGTAATCCGATGTTTTCATAGCAATTCGCTTGCGCGGCTCTTCTAGCACAACTAGCACATATAGAATATTAAAATTTCACTTTCCTGGACCGACTCCCACAGACCACCCTGCATGGCACTACATATAATTAATTAACGACTCAAATTGTCTGTAATGAAGCAAAAGCGGCTGGCTTGTGACGTGTTGATCAACGTATCAACAATGACCTTACATTCAGCACCAAACCGTGCCACTACATCTTACATGATATACGGTCTGGTGCCACCACATACATATTTAACTCACTACTACATGTACCTCTGACATGCAGACTAATACATCCTTCAGGGACGTGGATGGTAGGCACGACATATATTCTATACATGACCACCAGTCGTGCCTTTGTCTGGGAATACAGCAAATGTACTGTCTGGTTTGTTAAAATGTATAAAAGATAACACACTATATTGACTATTGTAAATGCAGCAGTTGTGGCATTGGTCCCATGTGCTTTTAAGTAGACAACTGTGGAGGACGAAAAATCGAACAACAAATTGAACAGCAAAATAAATGAAAGTTTCGAAAAAATGAAATCTCATAAAAGTAAGCGTTCATATTTATGTCTTCTATTTAAAAACCTGACAGAAAAAAACCGGAATTGCGTTTCTTTTCTTTTCCCGTTCAGTATACTACGCTACTCGTAAGATCAGTCGATGTTTTCCACTGTAGATCTATGTATGTGGAGTAATTCTATTTCCAGCACATGTGTTACTATTAATAGATTGTATTTCACAAGTGAAATTAATGGTTATCGGATGTACATCTGTTTGATAATTTCAGATATCATTATCAGAAATGTCCGAGCACTTTTGCTTTAGAACCCGCAATAATGCAGTCTGCACTCCCTGTTATGTGTGAGGCATCGCTATCCACCCCTTAGACAATTGACACATACAGCTAAGGAAAATACTAAGAAGTACTTGGTTAGCAATTGAATATTTCGTAAAACCTGAACACAAATTTATAACGCTTTATCACCCATGCCAATGTCAGTGTCCACAGTATTTACTGGTCAAGGTTTTACATCCGTAATCGTTATATTCTTATAAGAGTTGTAATGCATAACAGCTGACCCTACGGATTCGTGGTCTTTATAGTTACATCTCCAGTAACCTTTGTTTTCTGGGTAAACTTGAGAATGATGAACGCCAGACAAGGTAACAACAAGTGCCATATTTTAACATATGCTTTTTTGCAATAATGCGGCAAGAGACCGAACCTCTGACACTCCTGTATACGCTCCTATCTTCACGCATACGCTCTATCCACCAGATCACGGAAGCGGTTTCAAAATATTATTGAGTTGTGTTTGTAAAATAGCAAAGAGTTATTTACCCCCGTGTGTAACAAATATCCAGCGAACACTGCTGGGGCACAATAACTACCTATACAACTGATTTAAATAAGCAAAACAACACTAATATGACAAAGGTGTGTCATGACCCCACGAGCCAAGCCATATCCCAGGTTTGCCCTTCTATGATTCTTGGCTTGTCGCCAAATGACCGCCTCGTGGGTAGCATCAAAGTGGTAATGGTCTAAGCGCTGTCACACTCTCATGGGTAGAATCGCCAAATTCGTTCGCTAGTACTGTCTGTAACTGTTCTTACCTCCACCATTTCTGTTACAGAAGTAGGGGAATCGCCAAAGATTGCCGAGGCCTACACAGTATCCAACCAAAGACAGAATGCTGTCCATTTGTCGCGACCATCTGATCCTTCCGTCGTACTTATTTGGGTCTTCACCGTTAATCTCCGGGTCATCGTTCATCGCACACTCAAATCTCTTCCCCTCAACGTGGAGCGTCATTGTCAGTTGATCTCAGGCGAGGAACGATGTCTCACAGCTAATACCTATGTTGCAAACAGAATAATTATTGTAGCAGCTGGATTGATGGTAGCGTTTATTCACATTTAGGTTTCAGATAAATTCATCATGAATATATAAGTCGGCTGGAGTTACCAACACTCTACATGACAAACAAGCTGGATTCCGTACAGGCTATGCGACTACAGACAACATGTTTACACTCCAAGGAATTATACGAAAATATCTTTCAAAGAGAGGAGGTCGGTTCTATTGTTTCTTCATAGATTTCTCGAAAGCGTTTGGTACCGCTTAGTTACCTGCGGAATTCATGGAAATGTGTTACGTGTACTACGGAATATGTATGAAAAATTATCATCTTGTGTAAAAACTAAAAACGGTCTTACATTTCTTTAACTGCTGCATTGGAACAAGACAGGGATGTATGGTATCCCCGTTCTTTTTTTTCATTACATATAAATGAACTTATTTTTAAAGTAAGTCATTATTCCTTGTTATATACAGGGTAATTTCACCTTTAAAGAGTGGACATATGCTCCACACATGCATAGCCCCACTTCCAGAAAACTGGCCAATAGAAAGCTCCAGAAAGAACAGAGGCAAGCCAATCAGGACAAGGCATACCATATATGGTATCAGGAACGCCCCTGGAATATACACATGTTGTCACCAAGTGAGCTTTAACCAGTCAGACGGTGTACTTTCAATGTGTTTTGTGTATATAATGTATGAAAACGAGTGATGTTCGCAGTAGTGTTGGTATTGTAAAACGAGTTCATTAAGCGTGTATGTGTATAATATAGAACAGTGCCAATGAATAACTAGTCCTTTCCACAGAAATACATATTCCGTTTGGTGCAAAGGGGAAAAGGGAAACTGAACCCAAAAAAATGGATTACCAGGTATCGTTACAAAGGGTAAGCATGTACTGTCTGTAAATAATCGAGTCTGGACCAGACAATCCAGTGATTAACAGCATGAGCATCGACCTTCAATAATTCTTACTGATATACCTGTATGAATCCCAGCAAACTCATATTTACGACTTCAAAAAGCAGATAAACTGTAGAATTCAACGTTTTAAAAGTCTTCTACATTACAGCGTCTTATTTGAATCTTCAAAAGTGTTAATCTATGAATCTTTAATCAGGGCCATTAATTAGAAATGAAAACGTGATTTTCGAAAGGGTACAGAAATATCAAAGTTTTCTGTTATTAATACCATGATATCCGGTTCACTTCAAAATTGGGACTCCAATATGATGACAGATACCAGTGCAGACAGGAAGATATGTCCACTGATATATAGAATAATATGTAAATGCTGGAGGGTCTTCAGGATCAATAAGCAAAAGATTACCAAGATTCTATCGTTCTAAACTGTGTTACTGAATCAGAAATGATGGGCTGCATCGTATGTCGAAAGGGTAAACTCGTGTGAATCACGTATCCGGTCACTTTAAATTCTGATTAAATGATACTGTAGGATACGGGAAGATGTCCACTGTAAATGTGGAAATATTTTCTGGATGTGAAATGATGGATAAACAAGATACCAAGACAATTTTTCAACGTTGGCACTGCTCTTTAAATGAATCGATCGTATGTCATGGGAAACTCTGTACTGAAGAACTATACCTATTTAAAAATTGTATCTTCGTAGACCTCGATGCTCAGATGTGGAACATGGCATTCAACAACATAGATTGTTTCAGCAATTTTCACATTGGGAATCAGATATTCTTTAAATTAACTGTTCAAACACTATAAATCAGCTGATGTCGAACAGCAATCTTCACATTGTTGGCATAATTTTCGTCGAGCACTCTACAAGACCTTCAGATACCTTCAGATTCAAAATACACTACCTGGAGATCAGAAAGGCGATTAGTAAATCATATTTATAACTGAAACGATACCTTCCTCAAAAGTAATTCCATTTCTCCCAGCAATGCATATTACATGTTCGAATCAGATACCTTCCTTCAAAAGTACTACCTGAATCCCAGCAAAGCATATTTACAACTCCGAATCAGATACCTTCCTCAAAAGTACTACCTGAATCCCAGCAAAGCATATTTACAACTCCGAATCAGATACCTTCCTCAAAAGTACTACCTGAATCCTAGCAAAGCATATTTACAACTCCGAATCAGATACCTTCCTCAAAAGTACTACCTGGAACCTAGCAAAGCATATTCTCCACAACCTGAATCAGATATCTTCCTTCAAAAGTACTACCTGAATCCTAGCAAAGCATATTTACAACTCCGAATCAGATACCTTCCTCAAAAGTACTACCTGAATCCTAGCAAAGCATATTTACAACTCCGAATCAGATACCTTCCTCAAAAGTACTACCTGAATCCTAGCAAAGCATATCTACAACTCCTGAGATCAGATGCACCTTCCTCAAAAGTACTACCTGAATCCTAGCAAAGCATATTTACAACTCCGAATCAGATACCTTCTCAAAAGTAATTACCTGAAAGCAAAGCATATTTACAACCTGAATCAGATACCTTCCTCAGTACTAGCTGAATCCCAGCAAAGCATATTTACAACTCCGAATCAGATACCTTCCTCAAAAGTACTACCTGAATCCCAGCAAAGCATATTTACAACTCCGAATCAGATACCTTCCTCAAAAGTACTACCTGAATCCTAGCAAAGCATATCTACAACTCCGAATCAGATACCTTCCTCAAGAGTACTACCTGAATCCCAGCAAAGCATATTTACAACTCCGAATCAGATACCTTCCTCAAAAGTACTACCTGAATCCCAGCAAAGCATATTTACAACTCCGAATCAGATACCTTCCTCAAAAGTACTACCTGAATCCCAGCAAAGCATATCTACAACTCCGAATCAGATACCTTCCTCAAAAGTACTACCTGAATCCTAGCAAAGCATATCACAACCTGAATCAGATACCTTCCTCAAAAGTACTACCTGAATCCTAGCAAAGCATATCTACAACTCCGAATCAGATAACCTTCCTCAAAAGTACTACCTGAATCCTAGCAAAGCAAAATTCGCGAATCGCATGTTAGCAAAAGCATAATAACAATTACAAACTTATCCAACTTTATTTACCATGCTTCAAAACTTCAAATGTCATGTATATGAATGTCTGCATGTGTGTTGTACATGTATATGTGCGATGATTGTATGGATATATGGGTCAGCTTTGTATATGTATAGATACATGTATGTGTATATGTTTGATATGTAGATTTATGTTACATGCATGTGTATGACCTGTATGCGTATATGATGTACGTGTATGACCTGTATGCGTATATGATGTACGTGTATGACCTGTATGCGTGTATCATGTACGTGTATGACCTGTATGCGTATATGATGTACGTGTATGACCTGCGTATGCGTATATGATGTACGTGTATGACCTGTATGCGTATATGATGTACGTGTGTATTGGCTGTATGCATATATGATGTACGTGTATGACCTGTATGCGTATATGATGTACGTGTATGACCTGTATGCATATATGATGTACGTGTATGACCTGTATGCGTATATGATGTGCGTGTATGACCCTGTATGCGTATATGATGTACGTGTATGACCTGTATGCATATATGATGTACGTGTATGACCTGTATGCGTATATGATGTACGTGTATGACCTGTATGCGTATATATGATGTACGTGTATGACCACCATGCGTATATGATGTACGTGTATGACCTGTATGCGTATATGATGTACGTGTGGCCATGCATATATGATGTACGTGTGTATGACCTGTATGCGTATATGATGTACGTGTATGACCTGTATGCATATATGATGTACGTGTATGACCTGTATGCGTATATGATGTACGTGTATGACCTGTATGCATATATGATGTAACGTGTATGACCTGTATGCGTATAGCGATGTACGCATATGAAGCGTGTATGCGTGTATGATGTACGTATCATGTATGATCTGTATGCGTATATGATGTACGTGTATGACCTGTATGCGTGTATCATGTACGTATGAGACTTTGTATGTGTATATGATGTACGTGTATGACCTGGCATGCGTATATGATGTACGTGTATGATCTGTATGCGTATATGATGTACGTGTATGACCTGTATGCATATATGATGTACGTGTATGACCTGTATGCGTATATGATGTAATGCGTATGATACTGTATGCGTATATGATGTACGTGTATGACCTGTATGCGTATATGATGTACGTGTATGATCTGTATGCGTATATGATGTACGTGTATGACCTGTATGCGTATATGATGTACGTGTATGACCTGTATGCGTATATGATGTAATGTATGACCTGTATGCGTATATGATGTACGTGTATGACCTGTATGCGTATATGATGTGCGTGTATGACCTGTATTGTGTATATGATGTAATGTGTATGACCTGTATGCGTATATGATGTACGTATATGACCTGTATGCGTATATGATGTACGTATGACCTGTATGCGTATATGATGTACGTGTATGACCCACTCTGTATGCGTATATGATGTACGTGTATGACCTGTATGCGTATAGCGATGTATGTATGTCCTGTATGCGTATATGATGTGCGTATATATGACCTTGTGTATATAATGTATGAAAACGAGTGATGTTCGCAGTAGTGTTGGTATTGTAAAACGAGTTCATTAAGCGTGTATGTGTATAATATAGAACAGTGCCAATGAATAACTAGTCCTTTCCACAGAAATACATATTCCGTTTGGTGCAAAGGGGAAAAAGGGAAACTGAACCCAAAAAATGGATTACCAGGTATCGTTACAAAGGGTAAGCATGTACTGTCTGTAAATAATCGAGTCTGGACCAGACAATCCAGTGATTAACAGCATGAGCATCGACCTTCGCAACTGGGATACGATGATGTGTCAACCAAGTTAGCGAACCTGACCACCAGATCCCTTTCCCTATCACCGTTCCTTTTTTCATTATATATAAATGAACTTGTAAACGAAATGGATTCAGCTCATTGCAGAGGAATTT